AAGCCAGATAAAAATGAATAATTTTCTAGGAAATAGTATTTTCTGCAACTGACGCCAGAAGAGAAAGACCGAAATGGAAAAATTACTATAAACAAACTGGAAGAAATGAAGTTAGTTAGAGGATAAAGCTGCCCTCTAAAACATGTCAGACCCAGCTGGTTTCTCAGGGGAACGCCATCAAATATTTAAAGAAGCGATCACTCCAGTGATATTTAGATGTTCTCAGAGCATGTAAAGAGAGAGAATGCTTCCATAGTTTTAAAAATAGTGAAATGAATATAACATTGATATCAAGACCCAATAGAGACAGGACACTCTTCCCAAAAATCACCCCACAAATATCAGCCTCAGTTATGTATATTGATGCAGAAATTCTAAATAAAATATTAGCCAGTGGAATTCCACAGCAGCTTAAGATAATAATACATCATAACCAAGTGAGGTTCGTTGTGGGAATGCAAGGATGGGTTGGTATGTGGAAACCTATAAATAGAATTCACCTAAATATTAACTGGTCAAATAGGAAAAACAATATGTTTGTATATGCTGAAAAGCATTTTGTGAAACTGGACGTTCATTCTCAAAAAATTCTTGAGAAATTTAGAATGCGTGGAAACTGATTTCACGTGATAACATATATGTCTATGGCAATGTAAAGCCAGAATATAGCACATTAAAGGCAGGAACAAAACGAGAATGTCAGCTCTTACCGTTTTATTAATGTTTTTTTCTAGAGGTACTGGCCAAGAAAATTAGCCAAAAGAGAGAGATTAGTGGTATAAAATTGAAAAGGAGGGCTCACAATTAGCTCTATTGCCTCTGCTCCGTTTGTTGGTTTCAGTTTTAAATTTCTTCTCTTTGTTGTCCCTTGTTTCTCTTGAGGCAAAGTTTTTTGCCTTTTGGAAAAACATTGAATTATTGGTTTTAAAGAGGATCCCAGCCATTAGAATACTTGTATTTTTTTATTCCTGTACAACGTAGTGTGTAATTTCCAGCTCTTCTTGGCTGTCATTGTGTCCCACGGATCTTCTTTTAATTCTCAGACTCACCTCCTCCCCGTGTTTTAAGTAGAGGAGGGAGATGCGGGGTTGGGGTGGGTGTTGTGTCTGTGTGCACGTCCACACCACTTCTGCACTGGGTACTATTAATCAACGCAGTAGACGTTCAAACTACGGAGCAGTTATTTTCAGTATTTTTTTTATACTCAGAAGGCAGGAAAAGGGTTTTACAGTTCTGGTTTATTTAATATCAGTCGGGTAACCACGATTGGGTTTTTCAGTTTAAATACCTCGACACATCATTGAGAGGTTTAAAACAAATGATTGCATTGGGACTAGTTAAGCTTTATTTATACTTCATTTAAAACAATTTCTACTGTATGTTTACTAAAATTAGATTATTGGCACCAGATTTCCTTAAAAAAATAAACATTTATTTCTAAGATGTGTGTAAATGAAGGCAATTATAGCGTTCTTGTAAGAGTTGGTTACATACAGAAATGATTTTTATTTAACTGACTGTTTCTGATCACAAATGTAGTTATAGAAAAGAAACCCTTATGGACACAACCATATACACTTTAATATTGCATAATGTATATACATTTTGAAATGCACTCTTTTCTTAATAGTGTATTTTAAATATTTTAGCATGCCATTCTTTTTTAGGATCTTACTTTTAAATAATTGCCTATTTTTCCATCATATGAAGTTAATGTAACCAGGGTCTTCCCTTCTCTCCAGACTTCTTTACTCCTAACTCCTTCCTTTCCACAACTCTTTACACTTTTATTTTTTCTCGGTGAGGGAGATTGGCCCTGAGGTAACATCTGCTGCCAGTCCTCCTCCTTTTGCTTGAGGAAGAGTAGTCCTGAGCTAACATCTGTGCCAGTCTTCCTCTGCCTTGTGTGTGGGAGGCTGCCACAGCATAGCCTGATGAGCAGTGTGTAGGTCTGGACCCAGGATCCAAACCTGTGAACCCCAGGCTGCCAAAGCAGAGCGTGAGCTTCACCACCACACCACCAGGCTGGCCCCAACTCTTTCCACCTTTGCTCCCTTCTTGTTGGTCAGGGGACAAAAATGAAGTACGCTTATATTACATGGTTGAATCTGCAAAGGGAAATGCTTAGTTAAAATAAATGAGATGTTGCAGATTGGGCTATAGATATTTAGTAATAGATGCTAATTTTCCCTATTGATGATTAAGCCACATCTTTGGTTATATCTTTGTCTGGTGGGTTCCAGAATGTTACTACTCGGGGAAATTTGCCAAACTTTATCAGAGTGAATTGGTATATTCACTGGGTATAAAGGGAAATTACAGAGTGGATAATATAAAACTATACCGTGTTATCCAATATGAGAGCCACTAGCCACATGTGGGTATTTAAATTTAAATTAATTAAAATTAAATAAAATTAAAAATTCAGTTCTTCAGGTACCCCAGCCACAGTTCAAGTGCTCAGTAACCACATGTGGTTAGTGACTAACCGTATTGGACAAGCAGATACAGAACGTTTTCAACATCACAGAAAGTTCTCTTGGACAGCTATGGGTTGAAGTCTGTATGTGTTACCTGTTTATTATATTAGAATTTAAAAATCGTTTTGGTTTTTAAATTTTCTTCCCTGGTATTATAAATACTAATAAAAAGCAGAATTTCTATCAATATTTTTGGAAACAGTGAACAGCTCAAAATTATTTAGAGTAATTTTTACTTTCCTACCAACTTAATTTTTTAAATTATGTATTGAGGTAAAACACAGCTCAGCATAGAGTTGCCAGCATCTGAAAATTCTAGGAGAGCATTTAAAAAATTCTTCATCTAGGACAAAGTCCAGGGGGAGGGGGTGGGCTCTTACGTCACTCGGGGGACCATCTAGAGAAGATGATGTAGAAAGAAGAGTTGATTGTTTTTGAAAGACACTCAGAAGAAACAAATTAAGTGGAGAAATATGTATGTATTTGGGGCATGTAATTTTAGGTTATAATTGTAGTATTTATATAAATTAATCTAGCAAAATTAGGAACCGTAGGAAAGAAAAAATAAGAGAGAGGAGAGGAGCTGTCACCAGTCCTGTCATCATTGAAAACAGTATTACTGTTTGTCCCATATCTATCCAGCCTCCTGTTGTATTCATTCGGCAGTGATTGAGGTCAGTGAAAACGCAGACGAGATTAGTCTGGAAGGTAGGCAGGCGGAGTGAGGAAGAACTCTGACACTGAGCTGGAGGGCCTGAGTTGGAAATTCCAGCTCTGCCATTAACTGTCTGTGGGACCATTGCAAGTTATTTCCCTCCTGCGTGTCTCTTTATCTGTAAAATGGGATGATGGTGCAGTCTATCTCTTAGTGCTCTTGTGAAGCTTAAGGAATTAAAATATTAAACTCATTGAAGACTATGTTACTAATACTACTGATGACTGTTATCTAGGTAATACAGACACATGGTAAGTGCCTAATAAGTATAAGTCTCGCTATCATGGTTGCAGAGAAGCAGACATTTAAACAAGCAGTTGCAGTAAAGTTAAATGAGTTTTATGAGTAAGTTCAGTGTTCTCTGATAGTGCATATTGAGGTGACCTAATTCTTGATAATTATTTAAGCAAAATTAATTTGGCTCTTAGGATGGTTGGCTTTGTTTTATGTTACACTTTAATAGTTTCTCAAATCAAATCTTACTCCTTTTATAGCTTGTATTCCTGAAAATTTGTTTATTACTCTGATGTGATAAATGTTTAAAGGTTCCAAGATACTAAGTAAAAATGTTGCCCTGATCATTCTGGTAATATCATAAGTGTCACAATTCTTTCCCTGATGCTTTGCATTATGTACCACGTTGCCAAAAAGGTAACAGAATCCTCTCTTAGCAATAGCATATGGCTAATCAAAATAAAATCGATCTTCCAGACTTTTACAAGAAACTTTGGTTAGCTTTGAGTTTAATTAAAGAGTGCATTACTTGATACCTATTAAAAACAGGAAATTGTGAGCTGCAACTGTTTTTCATTCATAATGGGAGACAGTGTCTTCAACTATAAGTAAGAAGAGGCTAAAGTAAGTTTTCAAGGATAAAACTTTAAGCGGACCTGTATAAGAGCTCAAATAGATTAAACTTAAGTGCCGACAGTTGTGCATTTGTCAAAGCATCTTACATTTCTTAACTGTAATACTAGATTAGTTAAGGAACTCAGTTTGTCTTATAATGCATCAAGATATATTCTTGGCTTTGTGTTTCTTGGGTAATGCTGATGGGAAATGAATTTCCAAGTTTTTGTTTATTAATATGATTTTACTTGTTTTACAATGTGGAGAATTGTTTTATTTAAGCTAAATAGTTATGAAAAATGTCTCTAGTGATAAGAAATCCCTTTGTTTCTTAGAAATTTGAATTGGAGGGAAAAGTTGACAGTTTGAAAAAAAATAATAATGATAAGTAGAAGGAATCGTGTACTTGGTGAGGTGGTCCTGGAGTGCTGGCCCACGGGCCCACACGGCACCAGCTTGTCCGCTCCTGGCAATTATTACACACCAAGCTGTTGGAATGTGGCTGCCAGTTTATCACTTTGCTTTAATCACAGTTTATGTTTTTAGCAGGAATATAAACTATAAGTAAAGCTTGAAGTATTAAAGCTCTGTTTTAGAAATTAAAGATTTTATAAAGCTAATGTTTATTTGGGGGGAAAAACAAAGGTTTAGTTTTTATTATGTGCGTCCTATTGATGAAGATCTCTTTTCCATTTGACTTCATGTTATAAACAGTAGACCACAGTAATAGATGTAATGGGTGGTAGTAATATAGTAATAGTAATAGATGAATTATCTAGTAATTAGCAATAGTAATATATGAATTATGCACACATTTGTCATTTGTAGGTTTATATAAACATAAGTTTTGTTTAGAATGTTCAATGGATCAGCTTCTAGTTACAATGATGAAAATATTTAAATATCTCAGATTGTTTACCAGCAGGTGAACTTACATTCATTTGCTTTTCTTCCAGATTCATGAAAAGTTACACTACTATGAAAAGCAGAATCCTGTGCCCATCCTCCACGGCGCGGCAGCCTTGGCCGATGACGTAAGTGTGCCTTTCTGAGCTCACGGGGACACGGCTCCCGCAGGCCTGGCTGCCGCAGAGCTCATCCTAGCACAGACAGATGCCTGGGATCCTATGAGTGAAAACCAGAAGTTGCAAATCCTTCCAAAAGTCCTGTCATCGCTGAGCTTACGCTGCTATTATGCTGATTTCCATTCACTTTCCTGTCCTACAAATTTTGCGTGTAGATACCATCTTGTTCTGCCCTGGTGACTACGTAATAGAAATTTTAGGCTGCGCCTCTATAGGGAGAGAGAAGCTGTCAGCTATTAGTGTTCTGAGAAAGTCAAGAAGGAATGCTTTGGGGAAATAAAGACAAATGAGATAGCTCTATTGCTGACAGTACTAAAAAATGACAGATAGTAGTAGAGGAATGAGGCATATGAAATACATAAAAAGACAGGATTGTTTTTAAAATGGATTATAAAGCATAGTAATGATTTATGGATATTAGACCTTTCCAAATTACCTTCATAACCAAAAAATAAATTTTAGAAGCACTTGGCATTGATGGAGTAGTTAATTTCCTGTAGCTATAATTTTATTTTAAATCTGGAGGAGGGAACTAACTTGCTGTTTCTTACTGTTAACTTTTGGACTCGGATGAATTGAGAGCACACCTGGATAAACTATAAAGGACACTAAGCTAGACGAGAAATATGTTTAGCGTGAAGGCTGATTTCAGTGATATCCTGTAGCGTATTTGATGATTTTCAATTTTTTATTTTGTTATGATAAAAGAAACTGTAATTCAGTTTAGTACAATATCAGGGCCATAAGTATAATAAAAATAATGTTTTATTTATAAAACATGTTTTTTTAACAAAATTTTTATTTTATAAAACTTTTATTTATTATAAAAATAACATCTATAATAAAAAATTGACCATCTTCAGAGGTTGACTTTATTTGATATATTTCATATATATTTTTTATTCTAATTTAGAAAATAAAAGCATATGTAATAATTCTCCAAGCTCTGTCCTGTTTAGTCCCTAAACATTATCTACAGAGATTACAAATGACAGAATGTTTCAATATACATGTTTGATGAGGAAGCCTGCCTCTGCATTATTACAGAACAAAACATTTGAAATGAAGATGAATAAAGGTGTAGATATAATTCTACTAGTAAGCTGTAGTCACCACTTGAGAAAGTCTTAAAAACAAGTTTTAAAACATTTGCTGTTGAGCGTTTGGGAAAATATTTATAATTGAAGCCCAGTCATGTTATGGCAATATTGCTTTTTTTAAAAATTAGAGACTGTTATGTCAATATGATAAAAACATAGCATTTTGTAATTCATCAGAACAATGTATTTAGATGTTAAAAAATATTGTTACATATTAAGTGACTAAAGAATGCAAAAAGCCTCTTGTGTCTTTAAAGTTAAAAATTTTGTAAAAATGTTGCCTTGAAAGAGTAAAAGCATTTTTTGAAATGTAATCAATGAATATATCAATTTTATCTGATTTTATTTTGCTGTGTGTAATTTATGCTATCTTTCTTTTAGAGAAAAGTCCTTTTCCAGAGATGAGAACAATTATTTTTAGCTTGGTAGAAAGATTAGGTGCAAATGGAAATTTTATGCAATGTTTTAAGAAGGGTTTTTGAATGAAAGTATATGTACATATTTTGAATTTTGTACTGCACGTTTCATAATTCTAATCTTTTTTCTATTTGAGTCTAGCTTTTCTTCTTATGAAAATTATGTGATGCTTCCTGTAGCCTAAAATTGAATAGAAATTTGCTAGGAAGATCTCTTAATGAAGAACAAGGGGCAGGTTCAAAGTTTCAACCTTTTCTTTAGCTAGAACCAACAAGAGGAGATTCTTATCATTGTAGTCAAGTACAGTCAGCACTTTTGGTACCAGAGTAGCTGTCAACCTGTTGTAAGTCATTGTTTGATTAACCTGGTTTATATTTGACAGAAGTCTTAGTCTGTGTAGGCAAACATAATAAAAGTTTCAGCCCATTTGCTCTATTAGAGGCATTCTACTTCTTTTTTAACCCAGCTCCTAACAGCAAGCTACTGTGGGTTTTTGGAAACCCTGTGGATTTCACCACCTCATTCAGAAGCTCTTTTTTTTCTTTCTTTTTTTTTCCCTTTAAACAGTGTCAAAGCTTGATCCAGTCCTTTTTACAAGTGGTCCTTTGTCTGCATGCAAAAGACCGTTCCATAGATGAAGTGCTGGGATTTGCCCTCGTTGCAATAAATCAGAAGGTGATCTGGCTGATAGGATTCCTTGCATGGTGCTCAGCCGAGAGCCTGGGCTGGGATCTGGGCTACTGAGGGCCTCAAAAGAAGAGCAATGATTGATAGTCTGTTATCTTTCATGCTGAGTTGTCCATAATCCCTGGAAAGTAGCAAGATCGATTCTCAGTCCTCACGCAGTGCTCTTCCTAACGTTCTCTCTGTCAATGTGATCTCCCTGCAGCTGGCTGAAGAGCTTCAGAACAAGCCGTTAAACAGTGAGATCAGAGAGCTGTTGAAACTACTGTCAAAACCCAATGTGAAGGTGAGGACCTGTCACTTCTGTAATAAACATCTTCAACTAGGGGCACTTTCTGAGACTTCAGATGGATTTTGTTTTGACCATCAGTTTTCAAGGAAATGTATTTTCAAAGAGTGCACAGTATTTTAATAGCCTAAATCCCATTCAGGAAAAAGAATTGCCAGTAATGTTGTGACAACTACAAAATACTTTAATTGGGAAGCTCAGAAGTTAAGTTGGCAGATATAATGTAGCTTCAAGGTCATTTTCTGTTTAAATGAAGAGTACAAGGTGCAAACCTATTAGTGATTTTGTTTAGGTTCATTTTACTTGGCTAATTAATGGTATTCCAACATATTCGTCAACTCTGTCTCTTTTTCTATAGGATTATTTTAGCATCTCCCTTCCTCCTTTACATGTCCTCTCCCTCTCCCAATTCATGTTTTAATATATCCTACCATTTTACAGAGTAGAGCAGTTTTTCGGTGTAAAATACCAATAAAATATGGGTAGACAGATTTCAATTCTCTCCGCCATTTTCCTCCCAAGTTTATCACTTATTTTTCCTCCAAAGGTGATTAAACAGAAGGCATTTTGAAATTTTCCTGTGAATTCTGAAGTCATTACTGCACTAAATCCTAGAACCTATACATTTTGGACTTGACAGTATTACAATTATATGTAAAATATTGTTCCATGAGGCAAAATTACATATGGATTATGTAATTATGTGATTAAAATGGTAAATTATGGTGATTTCTGTTGAGCATATATAGACTGTTGAATGAATATTTCTGCCTAGACGCAAAAACTGGTTTCCACCTTCCTTGAAAAATCTCCTTTGGAACTGTGCTCTGTGTGATGTTCAAAGAAGAAAGATAGTGTTAAATAAAAGATGCAGTGAAAACATACATGGACTGTAATTTCTAATCCCTATAAGTAAATATAAGTACATAAAATATATTGCTGTGAAGAGTAAATGAACTATGATTAGTAATATGAGAGTAATTAACTTGTAGTGGTATAGAGGAGATTGATTAAATTTTACTTTTAAAAGAATAGGATCAGATTAAAGCAGAGTAGTTGCCTGACATTAAAGACAAAGTGTGTGGATGGATAAGAGAGCGGGTAGGAGATTCATAGCCGGAGAAGGCTCTGAAAATTTCTTTGTTTGTTCTTAGGCTGTGCATGAGGAGCTAGTATTAACCAGGGCAAGGGGAGGTTAGCTGTGAGAAGCTTGTTGAACTCCTTTTTGAGAGTGTTATCTTGGTTTGCGTATTAGAAATTGAAGGGGGAATGTTTCTGACCAAAAAGAACCCCACAGCAACATGATTTTGGTATTCTATTCAAGGGTGTTTGAAATGGAATAGCTAATAATAAAGAGGTGGTATTGGATGGAAACTAGTATTTGGCTCTAGAGGGAGGTATAATTTTAGATGGTATAATACTGGACCGTTGGAGAAAACTTTATAATTGAATACTTAAACTTTATTATGGCAAAAATAATAGATGAATAATTTTATTTTTCATATTTATATAGCAGCATGACTAAAGAATGGGTGAGAAGTCAGCATGAAAGACATATGTTCAGGAAATAATGTGTAGGAAGTGGGTAAGATTCCAGACACTTGATGTTGCAGTTGGCAATGACAATTTCTAGTTAGCCAGTCTTGGGAAGAAAATATCTTTCTTTCCTTTTTGATCTAACATTTAACATTAGTTTCCGTGAAATTATTTGTATTAATCACCGTCACTTTGAATCTCACTTTTTATGGGTAATTAAGAAGTGCAGCCTCAAATAAGTTTTAGACTATTTCAGAATATGATTAACCATTCCTTTTTGTTCTGGGAATAAACTAAAATATTTGCTTTTTTTTTTTTTAAACATAAGCAATATGCAGTAGAATATGATGTGTATACATGAAATTAGTTGAAATGATAGTTAAAATGTGAAAAAATGTAATTTGGGGGTGTTAATTTGAATATTGTCTTTAATTTTTAGTGGATAAGGGAAGTAATTATTTACTTTTTAAAGATTGCTGTACCATTTTAAATATTTAGTTCATGATACTGAGAAGCTGAGGTGTACCTCCAAAGTAATATACACACTGATACATACGACCAAATGTTTAGCCGCTATGGGAAGGTAATACAGATATTCACACATCTGCCAACTCTTTTGAAATGTTTTAAAACTTTCTTTGGTAATTTGTAAATGTCACAAGAGTCAAATCTTCGTTCATTCATTCTTATATATTTATTCAATGCCTACTCTGTGCCAGGACCCATAAATATAACTTGTAGAAAATATTTGAGATTAATGAAGATGACAGGAGAAATACTGGGTAAAAAAGGGAACACAGAGAAATAATGTGGAACACTTAGGAGTGGTGCTAAAGCTAAACTTGGGCAGGACGGGGGGGAGGTTGAAGAAAACTTCCCAGAGGAAATGGCATAGAAGTTGAGACCTGAAGGTTGAGTTTGAGGTAACCAGAAGCGGGCAGAGAGGGGAAGGATGAGTCAGCAGTAGGATGTGAAAAATAAATGTTTTAGGTATGGTGAATAGGATGTGATGTCCCATAAAGAAAATAATTTGTCAAGTGTGAGGATGTAAAATGAGTTCCATGTGACTGATCAGGACCTTGTGAAAGAGGGAGGGCAAAGAGTTTAGAGCCAGACAGTAGAGCCTTTGAGTAGGGGGCAGGGCGTAATTTTGGTTTGCCCAGGTTAGTCTGGTTTATGCCAGGAATTCCAGTCTTATTATTAATAGCCTCCCTTTCAATTTCAGTTGTGTCCTTATTTAGATGATGAATTATATGGCCACCCCAATTGTGAGCACGTTAAAAAGTTTGAATTTCATCCTAAGAGCAGTGGAAAGCCATTGACATTATTAGGTTAGGCATGTGATACAATCACTCTGTATGTAGTATACAGAACAGTTCCGTGGGATGGAGGGCTGGTGGCAGGGTGGGAGGAATGGATACTGAATGGAAGATGGCCAGTTGGGCATCTGTAGAAATAATTCAGGTGAAACATTATTGTGGCTCTAGTGAGGGATGAGGGGGATTGACGGGAGGAAGTAGGGGACAGGCGGGGCTGGATGTGACTTTAGTACATGGTGTTGGGACAACTGGTTAAACATTTGGGGAAAACTCAGAAAGACCCCTACTAGAGTGAATTCCAAATACATTCAAGATTTACCTGTAAAAAAATTGAACCATTATCATGGAATAGATAAGAAGCATTTACAACTTCAGAGATAGATGGACAGAGAGACACACACAGGAAAAGTAAAAAAAAAAAAAAAAACAAAATTCATAAATGAGGTTGGAAGGAATAGTTTATTTGTATAAATGACTTATGATATTTGTCTTTAGTAAGTGTAATAGTTTATTACTTTTTTATTTTTACATTTTACAAAGTAACTTGATAAAGACTTTTAAAAATAAGGTTTTTTTTGATGACTTAATTGTGTCTTTGATTCAAACCATAGAGAAGTAGAAGCCCCATCCTCATTGCTTTATTAGTGAAGATGAGCATTGTTTTGTATGCTTAATGACTTTATTTCTTCTGTGAATCATGTGTTCATACACCTCCAAGGATGACTACTCTGAATTGACCTCATTACCTTTCATTCCTTTTTCTATATAGAAATACCACCTATACATTTTGCCATTATAAATAGCATAATAGAATGCACTGCTTACTGTTTTGTTTTGTTTTGTGGACATGTTGATATTTTGTGCACTTCTCTTTGGATCACCATAATCATCTACTTAACTTGTCTCTTACTAGTGCACATTTCTGTTGTTTCTGCTTTTCTGCTATTTAAACAACACTGTAATGCCCATCTCTTGTATATTACAGACTTTTATCATGTCAATAAATTGTCGGGTTAAAGTGTTTGTACTTTTAAAATTTTGATAGTGATTGCCAGCTTGTCCTTGGCAATAACCTAGACAGGCTCTCTTAATGTGCAGTGCCTTCTGCAGTGGTGCATGAGGAGGCCCTTTTTCCCTATGCCTTTGGAATTAAATATGCAGTTAGTTGCATAAGCCCTTTTCAATTAATGTCCTTTTTTACCTTTGCTAGTTGATCACCACCAGAATATATGGCAACACTTTTCCTGTAAAACCTGTTGCCTTCAAGTCTTGAATAGTTGGGAAGCGACTTGTCGTTCTGTAACAGTAGTCTCACCTGAGAACTGTCAAAGATTTAAAGATTACACTCAATCTTTAAGTCTTTAAGTTGATTGGTCAGCGTATGCAAAAAAATAAACAATTCTTATTACTCAGTAATGTCTACAAAATCCAGTCTTATTGTCCACATCGTCAAGTCCAGGAAGAATAACCAAGTATAAAAGAAACAACAGGTGTGAGAAAAGAGAAATGGTAGTAAGTAGCAAAAGCCCTCAATAGATGTTATAGAATGTGAAACCTTGCTGCAGTGGTGGAGTGGTCAAGAGCAATATTGCAGGTGGCATTTAGGGGCACTGATGGCGGGATGTTGACCTCCACAGAGACTTCGTTTCTAGGGGAGGCAAAGGGAGTCATTAATAAATAAGAACCACTCCTAGGCATCAAATTGCCACAGTAAAGACAAACCAACCGCTGTGAGTCATCGTTCTGGGGCTCATTTTTGATAAAACAGTGAAGTGACATCATCTGCAGAACATGGTATTATAATTTAGGAAGTCAGGGAAAATTTGGTAGATTTTTAAAAGGCAATAAAATGAAACGATTTGTTGTAATTTTTCAGCTTTCCAAAACATCCACTTACCAGAAATTACTCACTGCCTGAGCATGCAGAATGGATGAGACTTCATTAAAGCATGCTAAAAGGAAAAGTTAAGCTTCCTTCTGGAGGAATAAATCAGTGTTACTCATCCTCATGAGTTAGACACTTAATTCTGTGGACCTGACAGATACTTAGAACATAGAATTGACTCCAGGGGGTCCAAGGAAGAGAGAGCTTGTGAGCCTGATGAGTTACAAGGCTTAGTGTTCAATTTCCTGCAGATTCTT